TCCTTAGATTCTTTCTTAAATTTCTCTGTACATGTGTTCTTTCTCCTATAGCCAACGTTTAGTTAATTTTCATCTAAACTTTTTATGTTAAAATACAGAGTCTTTTATCCACTAATTTTAAAAAAATATTAAGAGCGCACCATAACCATACAAAATTGACAGGCAGACAATTACCTCATCTTTAGGAAAATATGGTCTGATAGTATAAACTTTGGAGGTAGGAGTCAGTGGAGGTGGTTGAAAAAAGAGATCATTTGCCCCATCAATTGGCAGCAAACGCTGTAGGAAGGAAAAAAATAGGAGATGCATTAGCGTTACAAAGATACTGTTTTACTGGTGTGCACTGCAGATTACCAACTTAACATTAACTGGCTACTGCAGGCAGACCTAAAGAGGAGGGTGTACTACTATTCTTTACTAATTAAAAACACCTCTTTGCTTGGGGGAGTGCTTCTGAATTGAAATTACCCAAATTGAGCTACATAGTTTTACTGGTAACTTAATGGGGACTTAAATTTACAAATAACAATACAAAATAAGAATAAAATAAAACAAAAATCTATTCCGATTATGACAAATCTATTTTTTTAAAACCAATCTTATATTAGACCATCTCTCTACTAAAGATGGCAGAACAGAATGTCAGGAGGAGAGGTTTGGTCTGAAGAGGGTTATCTGTCCAGGAGACGCTTTATCCCCAAAGCAATGCGCTTCAGTTTGCTGCGCGTAGCAGAGCACCTGTTGGGGGGAGAAAAGGAGAGCACCTGAAAAGTCCATGAACAAATTCCAATACCAAAGAAACTCCATTATTTTGTCTGAATTTTCATTAATGGACTGCTCTTTGAAGCACAAGTTAAAGTTATCTTTGTAAGAGAACTGAAAAGTATCCAAAGTCTTTTCGTCACTTATTTGCATATACATCTGTTTTGCTCATGGAATTTCCGCTGGCAGACAAGCATGCGCGCATTGTGCATTGCGGGCGCAGATTAAAATGCTGTGCGACCTGCAAAGAAACAATGTGAAGTGTATACCTAGAGCCGCTGCGCTTCGCAGGCGCGGGGGAATTGGCAGCATCTCCTTCAGAAATTACTGTGAAAGAGGAGGAAAATTTGATTTAAAATCCAGCTATGTTACTAAATTGAATTTGGGACCAGAAAGCCTTCGGCAGACCAATCCTTCCAGCCATCTGATGCGCAACATAAGGTTTCTCATAAAACAAAGAAAATGTCAATTCAGTTGTGAATTCATATTGATACCTGGAACTCTCCTGCTAGACCACCTCTAAAGGCCCAGGGTTCTTGGTCTCCAATTAAGAACTGTGCTGAAGAATGACTACGACACCCTGTTGAGATCAGATCCAAGCGGAGAATGTTACGAGAAAGGGGATTTCCTGGGGTCTCAAACGTCCAACAAACTAACAAATACTTTGTGGATATAGCTCTCTAGCAATAATAATCTGGGGTTTTAGGGCAAGGCTATGATAATAATTATTTTTTAAAATAAGTAAGTTATAATACTGATACTCCTTCTGTAAGGTAAGGAGTAATCACTGTTATCAGTTTTCTTGATAGAGATACAGAAGTCTTGAATTTGAGTTAAGCTTATCCAGACTCTGGATAAAGCTATAAAAAGCAAGCCAATACTCTTGTTCTTTAATTAAATTATAGTAACTATAAGCCAAATTATCAAGATAATGAAGATAAATTTTATATTATCACAGCCCATGAAGGAATTAAATCTGTCTGAAGTCACATTTTACATTTTGAGGAAGGGTACAGGAAAGGGGAAAAAAGTGGGCAAGGGTTAATCTTGTCAGAAAACTAAGGTCAGCAGAATACTTATGGAAGTTGTTCAATAAACTGAACCAAACTCAATGAAAACTTTCTCTGATGAGGAGAATTCAAATTCAGACTTGGCTAGTTATAACACCATAGTCTTCAAATACTGAGGACTAAGAAGTCAATCGATGCTCCTTTTGTTGCTGCTGTTTAACAGTATCTGATTTCTCAGAGCACTGTACACATGCATGGAACAACAAGCTCTGAAGGCTTGGAAGTCAACAGTAAGGTCATCATTTAACAAAATTCCTGGACAACAACAGTAGCTAACACGACAAGATAATTAAAAACAAATGTTTAGAGACCAACTCAAAATCACCTGCCTAGTCTTCTGACAAGATAAAGCAGCGCAAAATAGTTCTTTTCCATTTGAAGACAGCATTCTAACTCCTGTTCAAGTTAACAGTCTCATCAGTACAAGGTAAGAGTGTGCTAGTCAGACAGTCCCAAAGCAACTGATTTTTGATGACAATTCAGTCCATTTAAGTAATTATATCTGGCATGTTCATTTTCTAGGAGTAGGGGTATCTTTTATAAAAACATATACCATGTAGGATATGTGAAATAAGTATTAGGGTCAAAATTTTGTTGAACAAAATCTGCCCCATTCCATAACTTATTTACAATTAGGGTTTTATGTGTGTGGAGGGAGAACTATAGCTCTCAAACTTTAAGATAAGCCAATTTCCCCTACCCTCTACTTTGAGACCACAACATAACTAGCACTTTTCAACTATTACAATAAAAAGCTGCATGTACGAAGAGCTGTGTAAATGAAAACATGGTTAATGCCTGAGTCGCTGCGCAAACGTGACTTCAGTTCATGCCTACAGCCCTTGAATCTACCTGAGCTACCTCACAGAGCCTTTCAACTTAAACTAATTAATCATGACGCGCTGTGAACATCTGCCGCTGTCCATCCAATAGTAGTAGACACTTGTGCTGAGGATTCTCCCATCTGTACACAATGGGGAAGAAGATAATAGAAGTCGTTAGTAACCAAAAGTACTGCAGAGCCACATTCTTTAAAGGACTGAATGCCAACTGGAATGGAGAAATGAAGAGTTCTAATCAGTGATCCCTTGAAATTACTAGGGAACTAAGAAAATATCCTCCATCAAATCTTTTTTTGGTAGAAGTATGTAGATATTAAGAGAATTTGACTCTGAGACTTAAATAAAATAACCTTTATGTGGACAATATTCAAAAGCTATTCCTCTAACTGCAGAAATAGCAGTAAAGCCTCAGGGGAAATGAAAATAGTGTATTACAATCAAGAATATAACAATTCTTGAGTTAAAAGCTGACTATCACATCCTTAGGTGATATACTTTAAGACGACTTATTAGCTGTGGTTAAAATGCCCAATTGCTGACCCTGAAGTTTGTGGTTTGAACTTACAAGATAAAAATACAGCAATCTGCTTTGGTAAAGACAGCCTACAGGGTTTGGAAACCCTACAGAGTACTTCTACTTTGTCCTACAGGCTCATTTTGAGTTGGAATTAAAAGCAGTGCATATACTTTATAAAGCTCAATGACTCCACTTCAGGTTCAAAACTCCTGGCAGCCTTAGAAACTTCAGATTTCAATCTCTAGAAAGATTAATTATAGCCACTCTGAATAGAAGCTTTATAAAGTCTCTGGGTGGCAGAGTTAAGGCCTGACGACTAAAGAGAAGGTTGATGATCTGAAGTCACCTAGAGGCACTTCAGAAAAAGGTCTGGCCATCAACTTTCAAGTTAACAGCCTGGAAAACTATAAGGACAGGTCTCTGCAGCACATGTGGGGCTGCTATGACTAAGAATCACCATGGTGACAGCTGGTTTAGTCAAGAGATTTGATGGCAATGCTTTCACCTGATAAGTGATATAAAAGTTTTTCATGATTTTAAGGTTAGCCAGTAATTACAAACAAGTGGTACCTTGGAACCCTGGATCAAGAATAGTATAAACATTCTCTCTTCTATTATGCTACCGAAAATGTGCTGTGTTTTAAAAATAAGAAACTTTGCTCTTTACTAGTTTTCTCACTGAAAAACTTACAATACCTAAAATTTTAAAATTTAATAGCTAAAGGATGTGAAAGGCAGTGATATACTTTATTACTATTGTTCAATCTCAGTGTTTCAGTTGTATTTCAAAAGCAAGACCTTGTCACCCATCATATTTGTGACTACTATGAAAACTATGACTATCAGTCAGCCTTGCTGCCTGCTGTGTGCTGTTTATAAGTCCATTACATATTCCTTATAGCTGGATTGAAAACCTGGAAATGAAATTAAATCCCTGGAGAAAACTCGGCCATGCTGGTGCTTTTTACCAAGTTTGGTAATTTCCAAAAACCAGTTTTCAAAGGAGACATAACACATTCAAAAGTCTATTTAATTAAGGAGAGGTTTTTAGGGGATTTTAATTTTCATCCCCTACTCTATCAATCACTTGGTAGAGGGATAAAGGAAGTAAGGTGAAATAATACCAAGTAGCACCAGAATAGCCTTCCACTAAAGCTCGCATGCGCACAGGGCTGGGAGGGTGGCTTCCTCTTGCCAGGCCCCTTAAGTCATTTCAGCAATAATTCTGTTAAACACAGCATTAATGTTCTAAGACACAGCAAGCAGCAGAGAGCTTACAGAGTCACGTTTCATAGTGTCTTATTTCCAAATCAAATAAAAGCGGTATATAGGGTTCCATCCAGGAAGCATTCAGTCAGAGCAAGTTAAAGTCAGTATTTTCTAACACATTTTCAAAGTATTTATGCTGAATTAGCCCAAGGGAGAAAAATTCAGCTACTCAATATAATTACTGAGATTTGCATCTCAAGCCTGCAACAGTGCCTACTGCCTACCTTTGAAAGAAACGTAGGCAAAGAATTTAAAGAGTTTAAAACTTGCCAATTCCATAAAACGTTTTTCTCCCTGTGGGATAATATCTCTTTCTTTTCTTTATTTTTTTTAAAGACAATATATTGTAAGAGATTATTCCTCGTGCACCTACCTAACCACTGTACAAAAGACTTCACCATAGACATTATACTCTTGATATCCCAAACATAGGAGTACATGTCATAAAGGATTGTCCTGTTGGCACAATTGGAGAGCCGTGTAAACATTCCCATCACCAGTCCGCACATCTCTTCAAACTTGGCTGCTCGTGACCGCCACTCTTCAATCTAGTGAGGATCAATAAAAAGACTCAAAAACTGACAATTTTAACAAAATAATCTATACGTTATAAACTAAAATACCTGTGGCCTATATAATTTATCCTAAATATATTAGAAAATCACTGACTCAAACTCTTTTATAAGAAATCTCTTCAAAGTAACAAATACTCCTAAAATAACCAACAGTGACTTTCTTCATTAACACAGAGGTCAAAAGATGGAGATTTTACCACACTAGATTAAGCAAATCCAACATTTACTTTATAAAATATTAGCTAAAATGTGGTCAATATTTTACCAGTCATCAGTGTACTTATTTATTAACTCCTTCCAGCAAGCACCAGCCTAGAGATCATTCCAGAGAGAAAAGCTGGTAAAGCCCATCAACAAATGAATGGATGTTGTGTTATATTCACAAAATGGACTACTACGCTGCATTGAAAAACAAGGAACTCATGCAATATTATTCTAAATGGTTGACCCTGGAGGACATTATACTGAGTGAAATATCTCAGTCACAAAATGACAAATATGGCATAGAGCCACTGTTATAAAACAGGACTGACATCGGGGTTGGGGGAGACTGAGAAAGATGGGATAAATAATGTATACTGCAATGAAATAGATGAGGGAAAAAACTCTTTAAAAGGGATATGTGATTAGCTATTACTGTCATGACAGGAGTCCAGAGCGAAGGCTGCACAGTGGAGTGGACTTGGGGGGCGGGAGATGGATTGTAAAACAATGAAAGAATTTTACTTTTCAAAGAGAAGAGCGTACTGTGGAGGGAAGGGGTGGGGAGGGAGAGAAGTGCAACAATGAATGAATGGAAATCCAAAGTCTCTGTAAATTTTCATTAAAATAATAATTTTTTTTAAAAAAAGCAGATAAAGGACACAAACTCACCTTTTCAGAGTCTTTTCCTTTGCAATTAACACTGACAACACTGCTATTTGCACGAAGCCACTGAAACTCCCGTAACATCTGTGCTCCTTTGGGTCCGTGCTCGTAAGGTAGGTAGAAGAGATCAGCAAGTAACTGCAAATCCTCCAGAGTCACTGGTTCTGCAGTGTACAAAGGCTTTTCATTCGGACCTGGCACAAACTGCTCCTTGTTGGTCTGTTCATCAGTTTGCATAGGGGCAACATCACTAATGCAATCTTCCTGCATAGACATCTCCGGGGATTTAGATTCAGTTATGCTTTCTTTATCAGTGTCCATTGGTTTCAATTCCTCTGACATTTTAGCTTCAACAATTTCTGTCAGTATTTGATTGTCATTCTTGTGGTCTGATTCTTCCTGTTTTTCCACAACCATGTCCATAGGTTCTTCATCTGGTTGTTTCTTTTCTTCTTCCTTGGTCAGAGCTGCAGGTTCACCACTAAGGGCTGCTCCCTGGCTCATAATCGGCTCCTGGTAAACTGTTGTAACTACAGTCGTGGAATTTAAAGAAGGTGCTGCAACCAGGGGAGTGCCATCAACCACACTTGCTTTAGCTCCACTATGTGCAACCTGTCTACCTATAAAAAGAAAAAGATACTCCGTCATGAGTAACACCAGTATTATTAAAGCATTAGGAACACTAAAGAAATGCTTCCTCATTCTACTTATTAACTGGATCCTCAAATAAATGGAGGCTTGTAATGAAGAGCAATTTCTCTAAATTTCACCGGGAATGTGACTAAGTGGGTGCAGAGGTGATAAAAGATGCCTAAATAAACATATCAACATTTCCTTTAATCTTTTTTAAAACCATATATTTAAAAGCAAATAATGCATTTTTTTTCAAATAATGCATTTTTAAAATAAATTGGAATGCTATTAAGATAAAAGCTATTTATTTAAGACTAATGTAAGCTTTTTAAAGACTTTATTCTCTAGAACCCTAAATCTCATCCAATTTAACATTGTGTAATACTCCAAAGCAAAGAAGTAGACAATGGTGTTGTTTACTTTGTGATTCAGCATGTATAACCTAACCCCCTTTTCAAAGCACTGCCAAACTTACTGCTGTACTGATGAGGTACACCAAATTCCTGTAACCATTCTGTTAAAGCCAGCTTTAGAGCCATCTGTGGACTATAGAGAACATCAGTTTCAATATCTTCATCACTGCCTTCATTTTCCAACTTTATCTGGATTGACACAGTACTGTCTTCACTGTCAGCTACAAAAGAAAGAACGTAAGAAAATTTGGATTACAAAAGGCTCTTGACATGAGAGTAATAAAATGGCAAAGATTAGTTGTTATATTACAACCACAGAAGCAACGAACTAGAACAAGAAAAAAATTCAACCATAAGCAAGTAAGCAAAGTCTTCCCTATTTCTTTTCAGAGACTCCTGATCCTTCCTCAGGAATGGAGCTTTTGCTGTATGTCCCCTCCACCCTACCCTTTCAATGAAAAGTAACTCCTTTTTCTCTCTGTAATTTATCTTTCCTAGTAAACTGCCTTTCTTTTCACCTCTGGGGGGAGGGAAGCAAGAAAGAACAAAACTCTTCAATGAACCGTTTTACCTAAAACAGTCATCTAAACCTAGTGAAATAAAGCAACAGTCATTAATATCCAATGAGCATAGATTAGTGTACTACAAGGTTCAAGGCACTGTGCGCTACATAAAGCCAACAATCCTTACCCTTAAGAGGCTTGCAAGTTAATGGGGAAACTTCTATGAACATAATAAGCGTGACAAGAAATGCCTGAGGAGGGAGGGAAGGAAAGGAGAAAACTAACAGCCCACATGTTTTGTCACCTATATATTTACTACAATAAAAAGTCACTAATACTATTCGAAAGAATAATGACAAAGGTGGCAAAACATTATCAATGTGACTGATGCCAGTGATTACATAAAGAATTGTTGAAGTGACAAATGTTTTGCTATGTATCTTCTTACAATAAAAATTAGCACTCTTCGGTTCAAATCCACCAGATGCTCTGATGGAGGAGAGGCAATCTTCTGTACCAGTCAGATCTGATTTCAGATCTGATTTGACGGTACACACACAAAAAATAATTTTAAAAACACCCCCACTCTTATTTATAACTCTATTTCATAAATAAACTACTGTCTAAAAGGAAAATACATTCCACAAATTAAGCAAAATCTAAATGTGCTTAGTTAAAGAATAAGCAATGTAGCGTAATAAAGCCCCATAAATTGTGATGACAAAAGAACATATGATTAAAAAAAACAACAACAACAAAAAAACATGATTGTCAATAGCTCTAGTTAAACCTAACTCTTTCCAAGGTCAAGGGTCAACAACTACTTACTCATTACTACATCTTTTCTCACGCCATTCATGTTTGATTTGTACCAGGTGGCAAGGGTGTGGATTGCAACATAGTTAGCTTCGAATTCACAATTTGGGTTAGTAAGGACTCCTTTTAACCTTGGGATAAGTTCTGTGGATCTTCCTTTGTATGGGCCCAGAAATAGTCTCTTTTGATCATAATCATTAGCATGGATGTTATCCCAGATAACTGGAGCTCTCTTAATAATCTTAGAGACTTCTTCAATAGACTCTACTGGAATTTCTTTGGAAACAACTTTGGGACCTAGAAATAATAATCACTTGTTAAGAGGATCTTTACAACATACTCTACATAAAAAATTTTATTTTATCATATTTTCCATGTTGTACGTCTTTTTTAATAACTTTTTATTTATTCATTATTGCACATTTCCCCACTTTCCCTCTTCCTCCCCAAGCCCACCTCTCAATGCAACCCTTGTTCCAGACTGTTGCCATACATATAATGCATAATCATATATTCCTTTCAAACAGTTCTTCCCCTCATCTGTTCTAATGCAGTGTTCATTATCTATCCACTCTCCTTATTCCCTCTCCACTCCCCCATGTCTCTCTTCTTTTGTAACAGCACTGTTATGCGGTATTTATCCTTTTGTGATGGAGATATCTCACTTAGCATAATGTCCTCAAGGCTCCACTGTATTGTGCAATGTTTTACTATTTCACTATTTTCTTTTTTTTCTATAATTATATTTTATTAATTTTCATAAACATTTACAAAGATTTGGGGTTTCCATTCATTCATTGTTGCACTATATTTCACTATTTTCAATGCTGTGTAGTATTCCACTGGGTGGACGTACCATAATTTTTCTATCCATTCTTTCATTGATGGGTACTTGGGTTGCTTCCATCACTTTGCTATTGTGAATAATGTTACAATAAACATGGGTGTTCGTTTGTTTGAGCTGTGGCTGTGGTTTCTTTAGGGTAAATTCCCAGTAGTGGAATCACTGGATCAAATGGTATTTCTATTTCCAACTTTCTAGCACCAGACCGTCTTCCACAGTGGCTGTACCATTTTACATTCCCACCAGCAGTGAATACGAGGTCTCATCTCTCCACAACCCTGCCAACATTTGTTGTTTAGCTGCCCTGTTGAACTTTGCTGTTGTTGCTGGGGTGAAATGGTATCTCATAGTTGTTCTGTCCATGTTATACTTTCAATGATTTTTCTTTTTAAACTAATAAAGCAACAAATAGTATTATTCAAAGGTTTGTTTTAGTTCCCTCAATATATACTAAAAAGATTTCTAGAATGCAATTAGTGGAAACTGAATTAGCAGTCAAAAGGTATTTAAAACTTGTATAAATTTCCTCTATACAAGAACTGTGACAGTAAGAAATAATTTTTCACACACATTTTATATCTAATTGAGAATTTACTATAACAAACTCCAACCTAAATTCTGGAAGAGTTTCTGTCATTCTCAGAATGAAAGCCAGTTGACTCTAGGTGATTGTTAACGCTTAATCTAATACAACTTTCCTTACATTAAACACAACATTCTTCTATGGCTGGCATCAACACTCTTTAGCTCAATTCTCTGTATGTCTGCATTATTCAGAAATTTCAATTTACATTAACGGCAGCATCTTCAAAAGATCCATTTTATAAGTTTGGGAGTTTTTTAACATTAAGCAAAGACTGCATAATTTTTTTCAAACAGTATTTTAGTAGTAA